TCTCAAAATAATTTACAAATGAGAATTTATGAGTCCAAATTTTACTGAGCCCATTTCTGCAAACCCTGAAACCCTTGGGTTCCTCTTCCAGAAACATTACCTGGATATTATCACAGTGATGGAACAATTTTATCTGTATATTTTTATCCCTCCAGGCCTTTTGTTGTAAGGCCTTGAAAGAGCATTTTATACATGTTTGTCACCTAGACATTAGCTGCTCCTTATGATCCAGACCGTGATGGATCAAATTCCAGCCCCCGCACCCATGACCCTCTCCAAGTTCTACAGACTCCTGGAAGGATTTGGTTCTCATGGTCCTCATTCCTGCTGCCGTGGAAACAGTTTAGATCACAGATTTTTACCATCGCAGGCAAATTCTCCCTGTCTGTACAGATTTAATCCAAGCATGAAAGTTTGTTCCTTTTTGTTGATTTTTATAAAATTAACTCACAAAAGCTCTGTGTGTGTGTGCGTGTGTCTGTGTAGCAGATTTTACCAAAGTTTTGGGCAAGAGTGAAATGTATTTATATCTCAAAATAGAAATAATGAGTATACACTCCAGCCTCCCACCATGTTGCCTGACCCATTTTCTTTGATTCCAGCCCCTCTCTGCTCTGCTGACTCACCTCCTCCCACCTCCAAGCCTGTTCATCCCAATATAGTATAGGGTTGGCTTTGTTGCCATGGTGCATCTGACCTTTGCTCTCAGTGACTCACCTTATTCTGGATACCTCCCTTGCCAGTTCCCAAACCAACTCAGGTATTTTCCTTAACACAGATGATTTTTATTCAAGAATTATTCTTATATTTGCCTTTAGGATAATAACTTTCTCACCTTACTGTATTTTTGGATTGGATTCTCTGGTTTATCCTGCTTTTCCATTTTTTTCCTCTCCCCCCCACCCCATTTTCCTTACCCCTCCAGTCTCCCTTCACAAACACACATTGTAACTACCAGTCTCAAGCCCTTTTCCTCCAAAAGCATTCTGAGGGTTGCCTCTGGATGAAAATGGTGGAATTCCTCTGCCTTGTGATGTGTGTGCGTATGATCTGTGGATGAGCGAGGGGTGCGGGAGGCGTGGCTTTGTCCCTGCCCACCTCCCAGCCACTCTCCCTCAGTCCTGCACCAGCAGCCTAGAACCCTGAGGATCCATGTTGCTGCCTTTCTATAAGGTTTGTTTGGTGCCCTAATCTTTAAATGATTGATAAATGTACAAAGAAGTGAGGTATATAGGTTTAATTAACAAATTTCTCCAAAAAGCAGAAAAGAGGAAACAAAGAATTTCAAGTTCTTACAAGATACTCTTTTTTACAAAGATACCACAAAGCACCCTGTGCCGTTTGTTGTGGTGGTTGCGGCTGCTGTTTTAGGAAGCCTGGCTGCCTTATTTTGCCTGTCTTTCCCTTTTTTACCATGCCTTCAAAAACACAGATCCTTCACCTAGTTCTTCTCAATGCTACCATGTTCAGAAATACTGTGTCTCTTTAACATGGAGGAGGCAACTTCCTTCCTCCATCCCGTGGCCATTTTACTGTTTAAATCCTCACGCTGAACCCACCCTGTTACTTCTCGTAGTCCTGGATTAGGCAACCTACTGTCACATTTTTGGGGAGTTCTACTCTGAGCTGCGTCTCTGCTGGAGTCTTCCGACGAGATGTTCTCTCAGCCGCAGGAGCAGCTCTTGTCCTTAGCAACTGATTTCCAGCATTTTTTCTACCCTGTGCTCACTTCCGAACAGTTAGCAGCTGCTGGAAAGCAGATCACCGTCCTTCCCCTCCTGCGATTGAAGTAGGCACATTTTTAAAAATTGTCTTCGTGAAGACTGAAAAAGAATCTGGCATCAGAAGACTGAGAGGAACTTGGGGAGGTCAGCTCGGTCTCCCTCCCCTACTCTAGGCTGTTCTCTGTGAATCCTTCTCAGCAGAAGCTCAGTGAGATGAGAAGACAGGTTTAAATTCCTGCTATGTGAACTTGGACAAGTTACTGACATTCTCTGAACCTTAGCTGTTTTTTTCTTCTGTAGAATGGCGAAAATTTAACCTGCCTCCCTCCTTAGCATGGCAGATGCTAGCCAAACGGGTACCTTTATGCAGAATATTAAAAGGTAGCCCCACCGTGTAACCATAGATAGCCCGAAGAGGATGGGGCTTCCATCCCGCTGAGGGGAGCCCAGCCGAGCAGGAGCCCACCCTTGTCTGCCCCATTTGCTTAGCACCCTGGTGCAATGCCTATCCTGAGACCCTTTGCAAGCAAGCTCCACAGGTCTATCATCTTCCTCCATTAGGAACAAGCCTGGGGAAGTGCTGGGCAAGGGGCCAGGAACGGGGTCTGCCTGGCTGCTTGGCAGGGAGTTAGCAATTTAAGAAGGTGCCTGACTTTTTACCTTCTGATCTCGCTTCCACAAACCAAGTCTTCCATGTTTTTATCACAACACTAACAATGCCATATGAACACAGTAGCTCGAAGGTGTCACTCTTGGGCAAAGTGCTCAGGGAAACACTCCCTTTCCCTGCTCATCTCTCACCCCCACCTTCTGCTTACTACACAGACTGTAGGAGCATTAAATGAGACCACAAGCAGGAATGCATCCAGAACATGACCCCAAAGGCCGAATTGCTTATTTGTCTCCTTCCTACAGTCCTTAAGGCTAGTCTGCCATTTGTCTAGATGTCCTCCTGCTATTTTCTGTTCCAGGGGTTTCCAAGGTAGAGTGCTTCAACCCCCAGAAATGCAAAGGGTGTGCATTGAGATGTGAGATAGAAATGGAAACTCTTATTCAGGCACACCTCATTTTATCACACTTCGCAGATACTGTGTTTTTCACAAATGGAAGAGTTGTGGCAACCCTGTGTCGAGCAGGTCTGTTGGCCCCATTTTTCCAACAGCATTTACTCGCTTCCTGTCTCAGTGTCACATTTTGGTAATTCTTCCAATGTTTCAAACTTCTTCATTATTATCATATTTGCTATGATGATCCATGACCAGTGATTATAAATTGCTCAGATGATGGTGGACATTTTTTTAACATGACACTTTTTTGCCCTCTTAAGAGACTATAGTAGGGGCGCCTGGGTGGCTCAGCGGGTTAAGCCTCTGCCTTCAGCTCAGGTCATGATCCCAGGGTCCTGGGATAGAGCCACACGCATCGGGCTCTCTGCTCAGCAGGGAGCCTGCTTCCCCTCCCTTCTCTCTCTGCCTGCTTCTCTGCCTACTTATGATCTCTGTCTGTCAAATAAATAAATAAAGTATTTAAAAAAAAAAATAGACTATAGTATAGTGTAAATGTAACTCTTCTATGCCCTGGAAAACCAAAAAATTAATTTGACTCACTGTGTTGCAGTATTTGCTTTATTGTGGTAGTCTGGAACCAAACCTGCAGGATCTTCAAGGTATACCTGTATTTATTTTAAGCTTCAAGGGAAAGGAATTAAGGTTTTCTAATATTTCACATATGGCTCAACAGTGCTTTGTGGATATAATTATGAATAGACATACATATACTGAGTGGGCACGCTCAATTTTTCCTCTGACATAGGTAAGTGATAAAAATGCTTGAAGACCGGGGCGCCTGGGTGCCTCAGTGGGTTAATCCTCTGCCTTTGGCTCACATCATGGTCTCAGGGTCCTGGGATGGAGCCCCAAGACGGCCTCTCTGCTCAGCAGGGAGCCTGCTTCGCCCCTCTCTCTGCCTGCCTCTCTGCCTACTTGTGATCTCTCTCTCTCTCTCTTTCTGTTAAATAAATAATTTTTTTTTTTTTTTGCAAAAATGCTTGAAGATCACTGTTCAGTTCACATACCTCTGTGGCCACGAGATTCTAGAAATGCAGTCACATGTGTGAATTCTTCCTTGTATCTCCTGATTGACATAGTAAATAATTGCTCCCCACTTTATCTTCTTGGACAGAGCTTTTGTAACTCTTGTAGTGAGACTTCTTCTCTTCCCCTTAACCTCATTCTTTCATTTTTATCTGCATAGGGTCTTGAAGAAGTAAGCTCTTTTCCTGTAACATAATTTGCACATGCTAATTTATTATGATGAAGTCAAATTGACATCTTTTTGGTTTAATTTTAGAAATGCGGTACAGTAAAATAAAAATGTGGGCTCTGGGTCCAGGTGGCCTGAGCAAGATGACAGTAGCAAGTGACTTAACTTCTCTGTGCCTTGGTCTCCTCAATGGTGAGACTGTTCCTCCCAGTTGATTCAAACAGTATTTTGCCTCCTGCTCCCTCATCTGCAAGAAGATGCCCTCTCTCTTACCCAAATCGCAGTGGCAGGAGACTCCTGGACATTCTCAGGGCTTACTGTTTTATTTTTTTCCAACAAATTGTGGTATTGGTAGACAGATTAAAGTTTTCAATGTAATGTCTTGTGTGAAAAGCCAGCAAGTTTAAACCTAATTGTTTTACTATGGAGTGCTTCTGTATTCTTTCATACCTCTCTTCGGAGAGATGAAATGGTCTTTATAAAAGCTTAGTGAATTCCCATTATGAAGACCATTTGCATCCATCTATGCATGCAATCCAGGATATGGGTAGAAAGTAAAGGGGAGAGGATCAAGACAGGAATTTCTTCCACATTTCCTCCTGCCAATCCTGTTAATTCCCATACACAACCCCATCTAATCTGGGGAGCCATCCAGTCTGATAAGGAGATATACTTCCCACACCAATGACTGATTCTCCCAGGCTCCAGGGAGAGAAGAAATGCAAAATTTTAAAATACACAAATGTTCTCCAAATACTTTGTTGTAAGTTCTTCTGTGGCCTAAGAAAACCACTGTGTTCTATGTCAGAACTTAGACCTGACGAGCAAAGTCAAATAATTCATTTTCCCAGCACGTGGGCAGGGAATGAAATCCTGGTGCCAGAATCAAACATTGTATTCTCCAGGCAAAGGAAATGGACGTTTATTGGATGTTATTGCTGCTGTCTTCACACTAATGACATTATCAGAGCTCTTTGAATAATATAATTCAAAAATATTACTTCTGTGTTTCAGGTCATGCAAGACAAGATCATCTGCCTTCCGAAAAGAGTCCAGCCTTCTCAGAATCACTCTTCCGTGTCCAATGTCTCTCAAGCAGTTGCCAGCACCACCCCGCTGCCTCCCCCTAAGCCGTCGCCTACCAACCCCGCCACCGTGGAGATGAAAGGACTCAAGACAGACCTGGACCTCCAGCAGTACAGTTTTATAAACCAGATGTGTTACGAGCGAGCCCTCCACTGGTATGCCAAGTATTTCCCTTACCTAGTCCTCATCCATACCCTGGTCTTCATGCTCTGCAGCAACTTTTGGTTTAAGTTCCCCGGCTCCAGCTCCAAAATAGAGCATTTCATCTCGATCCTGGGGAAGTGTTTTGACTCCCCTTGGACCACACGGGCTTTATCAGAAGTGTCTGGGGAGGATTCAGAGGAGAAGGACAACAGGAAGAACAACATGAGCAGGTCCAACACCATCCAGTCTGGTCCGGAAGGCAGCCTGGTCAACTCTCAGTCATTAAAGTCCATCCCTGAGAAGTTCGTGGTTGACAAGTCCACAGCGGGGGCCCTGGATAAGAAGGAAGGTGAGCAAGCCAAGGCCTTGTTTGAGAAGGTGAAGAAGTTCAGGCTGCATGTCGAAGAAGGTGATATACTCTATGCTATGTACGTTCGCCAGACGGTGCTGAAGGTTATAAAATTCCTCATCATCATCGCGTACAACAGCGCCCTGGTTTCCAAAGTTCAGTTTACCGTGGACTGTAATGTTGACATTCAGGACATGACCGGATATAAAAATTTTTCTTGTAATCACACCATGGCCCACTTGTTCTCAAAACTGTCCTTTTGCTACCTGTGTTTTGTAAGCATCTACGGACTGACGTGCCTTTACACCTTATACTGGCTGTTCTACCGTTCTCTACGGGAATACTCTTTTGAGTATGTCCGCCAGGAGACCGGCATTGATGACATTCCGGATGTGAAAAATGACTTTGCTTTCATGCTTCATATGATAGACCAGTATGACCCGCTGTATTCCAAGAGATTTGCCGTGTTCCTGTCTGAAGTGAGCGAGAACAAATTAAAGCAGCTGAACTTAAATAACGAGTGGACTCCCGATAAACTGAGGCAAAAGCTGCAGATGAATGCCCACAACCGGCTGGAACTGCCTCTCATCATGCTCTCTGGCCTTCCGGACACAGTCTTTGAGATCACAGAGCTGCAGTCTCTAAAACTTGAAATCATCAAGAACGTGATGATCCCAGCCACCATCGCACAGCTCGACAATCTCCAGGAGCTCTCGCTCCACCAGTGCTCAGTCAAAATCCACAGTGCGGCACTCTCCTTCCTGAAGGAGAACCTCAAGGTCCTGAGCGTCAAGTTTGATGACATGAGGGAGCTGCCTCCCTGGATGTACGGGCTCCGGAATCTGGAAGAGCTCTACCTGGTCGGCTCTCTAAGTCACGATATCTCCAAAAACGTCACCCTCGAGTCTCTGCGGGATCTCAAAAGCCTTAAAATTCTCTCTATCAAAAGCAACGTTTCCAAGATCCCGCAGGCCGTGGTGGACGTGGCCAGCCATCTCCAGAAGATGTGCATCCATAACGACGGCAGCAAGCTGGTGATGCTCAACAACTTGAAGAAGATGACCAACCTGACGGAGCTGGAGCTGGTCCACTGCGACCTGGAGCGCATTCCCCACGCCGTGTTCAGTCTGCTCAGCCTCCAGGAACTGGACCTCAAAGAGAATAATCTGAAGTCCATAGAGGAAATCGTTAGCTTCCAGCACTTGAGAAAGCTGACGGTGCTCAAACTGTGGCACAACAGCATCACGTACATCCCGGAGCACATCAAGAAGCTCACCAGCCTGGAGCGCCTGGCCTTCAGTCACAACAAAATAGAGGTGCTGCCTTCACACCTCTTCCTGTGTAACAAAATCCGGTATTTGGACTTGTCCTACAATGACATCCGGTTCATCCCGCCCGAAATCGGAGTTCTGCAGAGTTTACAGTACTTCTCCATCACGTGTAACAAAGTGGAGAGCCTTCCCGACGAACTCTACTTCTGCAAGAAACTGAAAACCCTGAAGATCGGGAAAAACAGCCTCTCGGTACTTTCACCGAAAATCGGGAATTTGTTATTTCTTTCCTACTTAGACGTTAAAGGCAATCACTTTGAAATCCTCCCTCCCGAACTGGGAGACTGCCGGGCCCTGAAGAGAGCCGGGTTGGTTGTGGAAGACGCTCTGTTTGAAACTCTGCCTTCGGACGTCCGGGAGCAAATGAAAGCGGAATAACTTCTTTTTCTTTAAAGCTTCACTGAACCGTGCTTCTACCAAATACAGTATAAATAATTAGGTAGTCTTAATGCCTTTCCTATTTTATTTTTTTTCTTTTTCACACAACACAAACTGTACACAGAGATTGAGTAAGGAGTCTGTATTTTTTAATAAAAATTTAATTGTATTTTTTCAATATTAATATTTTAAAGTTTTATTTGTCCTGGAACCTAGTGTATCTATTATTGTTTTCTACTGACAGAAACAGGTGGTTCCATCTGGGTTTTTTTGTGTGTTTCATTTCATTCTCATGAAAGGGAGGGAATTTTAAGTTGCATGCTTTTTGGTCTTTTTTAAATAGATATTTTGCCAAGGTGATTATTTTGCTTGTTTACACCTGTCCAGGGTCCTTATATTTGTTTTCCTTGTGTATGTACCAAGGAGTCTGTACTAGTCATCGTCATACTGGCTGCCTTCTGCACTGGCCAAGTCCTCCGTCCTACAGAAGACTCTTCTCTGGAGGGTAAATTCACAGAAGTGCATTGCCACAGACCATTGTTTTCAAAATTTCTCCTCATCTCCAGCAGAACCCCACTTGCGTTATTTCCTCTACTTGACGGTCCATGTGATCGTTAGGCTGGGATTTTGTTACATGAGTGAAGACAGTAATCTCTTCCATGCTGAGCTGATCTGAATTGGTCATTTCCCATCTAACTGATTTGCGTTCTCACCAACATTTCAAAAATATCGTTTAAAAACAAAGTACAGAGGCTCTCCTCCCCCCACCTCACCCTGCCCTCCATCTGAATATTGCTATGTAGTACTGGTGAACCACCTTAGAGGAGCTAAATTTATTTTAATTAAAATAGGTAATTAAATTTAAAAATCAGAATCAGAAGCCTGGTTTTTAAGTAATGTAATAATCTTTGATATCTTGATATGTGGGTACATCAGATGGAAAAAATATTCCCCGCTGAAGCACTCTTTGATAGAGCTGGGGCCCTGTAGCCAGGAGTGCTGGTGGCCCCAGGCGGCGGTGGGGCCGACCACTGCCTCCCATTCTGCCTGTGCCACCGAATAACCCACATCCCCATAAACTGAGCTCCCGTAACCCTGCCCGTGCTGCGGATTCGAGTGATGCAAGCACAGGAACTCCTTCTGCTTTTTGGCTTAAAATAAGCATCTCATCTAAAATGGTCCTGTTACTTTTTTTTTTTTTAAGGGGTGAACAAATTGCTAAGTGGATGTCACTTAGAAAATAATTTTTGCTTGATGGTCAGCAGGGCTTTTCCTTATCTTTGTATTTAATCTAGTAGATGCATCTTGGGCAAAATCTGTTCCTGATTCTTCTGCTGTGTAGAACAGGAAAATGAAAACACTTTTTTGTGCCCTCAGTCCAAGACTGGTATTGCTGATTGTGGGAATTTTGTTTTATGTAGTAAATTCACACTTGACTGTTTTCAGAACTCTAATCTCATCTAAGAGAGTTTTGTGACTTAACAATGAAAGGAACTAGGAAGATGATTTGGGGTTTCAAAATAACTGCTTTTAAATTTTACGCCTCGATCCCAGTGACTTTGCACAGTGCTGCTCCGAGTCACATACAGAACACAACTTCTAGGAACTACACAGCAGACACACGTACCTCAGTCGTGTTTAAGATGCAGAGAGCTGTCATGGAGGGAAGATTTGGGAAAGAGATGCTTTTCATTTGTTTAATAATGAAATCAAGAAGTCTGGGATGCTTTATGGCTTCTGCTCTTGTCCATGTGTCAGAATGGTGATTTTGTATAACTTAGTTCCCACCTAGAATTGAAATTATATGTTTAAAAGAGTACATGGCTATATTTCTTGTGGGAGAGAATATTTGATTCCAGAACATAGTTAGGATCCTGATTATGAACAATGTGTTGTATTTAGAAACACAGACCTCTTTGTTTTAAGCAAACAAACTAAAGACTTGGAAGATTCTCCATGACTGAGCACGACAAAAACACCCTCTTGAAAGGTAAGCTTAAATAACTACTGGTAAAACACTGGGTGCACTACTTTTCTGGATAAAATTTATAGTTATTTTCTATATCACCCTTCAAAAGGGATCTATTCAGGTTAAAAATCATTTGTGCTGACGTCTTTATCTGGTATTAATTCATAATCTCACATGGGCTTCACAACTGAAGTAAGGGACTAGTAAGTAGTTTTATAACTTGTAATAATTTGCTCCCAATTCTAAAAGACTCTGATTTGCTTGCTTAATGAGGTCACAGGCTGACCCCTAACCTAAATTCTAAATAACAGTCTGTTAATCAGTATTTTCTGTGACTTTATGCTTTAATGAAGAAGGAAAATTCATAGATGCTTCTATTGGATTTTATAAAAATTCCAAAGTCTCAAACTTCATCTGGAGTCTCAATTTTCTGACTCTGGCCCTTTTTAATGTCATGAGTTTTGGTTCACATTTATAAGCAAAAAGTATTCAATTGCATTTAGCCTTTAAATGGGAAACTCAGGTAAATGAACTGCTGACTTTTCTAAAGTCCTTTAATGGATCAACTCAGTGTAAAAGGGGTATTTACCTAATCCCTTTCTGTATTTTACAAGTGCTCTTGCTAAAAAGGAACAACTAGCTCTATTTCTCCAACCTCTATAGGATTCATGAGACACTGCTTCTGTCAGTGGAAAAGCACCATAGGTGCTCATCACGCCTATGGCTGCTTGAAGCCCATGATGGGCACGCTTTCTGGTCGGTTTTCATGGTTAAGCGGAGAACAGGTATCTGTCTGGTGAGGGGCTGCTTGAAGCAGAGCATAGAAGTATATCCCAGTGGAACTCCCCTAAGAAGACCACACCTCAGAAAACTGGTTATGTGATAGGTTCTTTTTTTGTTGTTTTATTTTGTTCCTTGAACACTCTTAACATAAGTGTTCTAGATACAGTGAAACAATTGTAGATTTTTCTTGTTCACCCACCTTTTCCCTGCCATTACATTTCCCCCGAAGCTGCTGTAAAGAGTTCCAACAACTTACGTGGCATCCTGTTTGGCAGGAAGGCCTGGAAATTCGCCTTCTAGGAGTATTTGTCCATTCAGAGGTGCCTCCGTATCTGCCTCTTAAGCCATCTTCTTAGAGAGGGTCTGAAACAAGCTGGCATCTTTCTCAGGCTATGTGGGATGAGGAAGGTCCAAGTTCTTGCAATATGCTGTCTTATGATTTCTGATATTAAGAAAGAAGAAGAGAGATTCTTTATATCTCTTCTTACTATCTCCCCCAAGAAGATTTTTGCTGTTGTTTATTTTTCCAAGTCTATCATTAAAAAAAAAAGAGTCCATTTTTAAGTAGTTTATTCTACTCTCTAATTTCCTACCAAATACCTGATCAATAGTAATGCTATACTTAAACAGTGGACATCCATGATCCATCGTGATGAAAATGGTCAGCAATACTTAGTAGTGACTAGATAAGATAAATTTTCACAGAATTTCAGTTTGTGTTCTCCCGTTAATTCTGAATGTGATAATGCTCGTCAAGCAATTGACATTTTTGGTAGGATCTCAGTAACTCACAGTAGGGCCCCACGGTAACCTTAAGTTAGTAAAACAAGTAAACAAAACAGCACAGTTATGAGTGAGGGAATGCCTCAAAGGGTCTGTAAGAGATTCTCATCCTTTCTTGTCAAATCAGACACGTTGTAAGAAAACTTGGACAGTCTCGCCCAGACCTGCCATTGATTTTTCAGATTTAGGCCTCAGTGACATGCTTTGGATACAATTTCACGCCAGCCTTTCAAACAAGGTGTCCCCGCTCATTGCGTCTTCCCAGAGCCACGTACGACAAAGGTAACATCCTGAGGTTCATTCTGGGGAGAGGGAAGAATAGACTCCCGCCCCAGGGAATTTTTTCTTTATCCGAAGACTGTGAAAAGGGGTACTTTGAACAACGTGTTGGCCATGTGAAGTAACAGTTCCTGTGCACGGTTTTTAATGTAGTTATACAGTTGCTCTCTCCTGAGTACTAGTCCCTCTCCCACCTGACTCTGCCTCTTGAATGAATATTTTTACTGGGTTGAAACGCAATGCCTTATGTGCTCCCTTCGTCGGTCTTCCTGCCACTTGTTTTCTCCCACTCTGCTCAGACTGTGTCAAATGCTCTTAAAACCTCTAAGACTGTCCAGAAAATGCTTGAAAGTTGATTCATTGTAGTGCAAATTCCCAATAAAATGTCTTCATGTTATTTGGTTATGCAGTACACAGGAAGAGAAAATAACTTAAATAAAGTCATTTTTGTAATTTAAAGTTGAGATTCGTGCTTTCTTGGATTACAAAAGTCATGTTTATCCTTTGCATTTCTCTCAGGCATTTGCATCTGCCCTTGCAAAGGCTCTCTGGGCTGCGCAGGAAACTGGCCCACGTGCCTTCTTTCACTTCATGTCGAGCTAGTTTCTGCAACCGTGACTAATTATTTCCTCCCTTAATTCCGTGTGCTGCTGCATCTACCTCAGGTGCCCCTGGAGTTCCGTTTGAGTAATTAGCACTCGAATATGTAGTCTGGAGGGCAATGGCGCTGCCGTTGCCAGATCAGATTATGCGATTGCTTTCTCACTGTGGCTTTCACCAAACACTGTTACCGTAATGACTGTGGTTACTTAAAGGAATCAGAATGGTTCTGCTCAGCTAGGAATCGTTTATCACACACACTCCGGACTTACGGAAGCCCTTTTTAAGAAAATCTCATATACCACTTATGCATAAGAAAATTGTGATTGGTGACTTTTGAAGCTCAATTGTCACTTACCGTATTTTTCTGTAGTCCTTTGTGACCCCATCGTTTTACTGATCATCAACTGATAGCCCTTGGGAGAAAGTCTACAGGAGACAAGGAAGGATTCTGAGAGTGGCAAGAGGCCCTGCAAATGTGTGCATCAGAATCTCACACAGGCGGGCCCCTGGGTGACTCAGGGGGTTAAGCATCTGGCTTTGGCTCAGGTCCCGTGGGCTCCTTGCTCAGTGGGGATCCTGCTTTTCCCTCTGCCTGCTGCTTCCCCTGCTGTGAGTGCTCGCTCTCTCTCTCTCTCTCTCTGACAAATAAAATCTTTTTTTAAAAGTTTTTTTAAAAAGAAGCACAGAATTGTGTGGCAGCTGGAGAAATTTTGGAGACGTTAGCTGAGAAATGCAATAGAATGGAGACAGCTGATGATTTGTTGCAATTGCGATATGGAGAAGACTGTCTCCTGGTACCTTCCAATGTCCCATCTTCCAGTCCTTTCATTTATATACAACATTGAGGCAAACACTGATGTTGAATGAATCAAGTCCATCGCTCAGGCTAGTGAGATAGCAGCATTTCTGTTTGGGTCCAGAAATACACAGGAGGGAAGTCACTAAAGACAATTTTAGACTCAGTGGGGGTACTCACCTGGCCCCAGGCCTGCAGGTTTCAGAATGAAAGTTTGAATGTTATCCTCAGTACCCAAGTAGGAAAAAAGTGAGAGGCTGTACTATTTTTGTATGTAAATCTTTGAATACAAGCTATATACTTAAGATTTCATATTTGAGCAAAGCAAGGTACAAACATTTATATGATACCATAGATGGGAGATTATTTTCCTAGTTTAAAGATTTTACATAAAAGACACAGCATTAGGCAAAGATGTTATTACCAAATATAACTGGCCATTCTGATAATTTTGATTTAGGAAATCCTGTTAGAAAGTTTGCAAACAAGTAGAAAATGGGCTTTTTTTTAATCTTTCGAGGAATTTACTTCAATTCAAGTTACATTTAGACATCACCATTTAAAAAGTGTTTATTTGGGGCGCCTGGGTGGCTCAGTGGGTTAAGCCGCTGCCTTCGGCTCAGGTCATGATCCCAGGGTCCTGGGATCGAGCCCCGCATCGGGCTCTCTGCACAGCAGGGAGCCTGCTTCCCTTCCTCTCTCTGCCTGCCTCTCTGCCTGCTTGTGATCTCTGCCTGTCAAATAAACAAATAAAATCTTTAAAAAAAAATAAAAAATAAAAAATAAAAAGTGTTTATTCACTTTTTAGTAATAGTTTCAACTAATATAGTTCTTGGGAACAGTGACACAAAAGAGGCAGCATGTAATTCTTGTGTTTTATATCTCCTTTATAGTCTAAGAAAAAAATAATAAATTTCCAGCAGTGATTTTAATATAAAAAGTTGTATTTCTTCAATCTTAATTACAAAGGTTCTTGGGATTCCTTTATGATTTC